GTGTAATGAGCTACGCGAGCCGTTCAACTGAAAGCGGCGTTTTGACGATGGGATTACCAGATGTCGTAGGTCCTGAATTAGTTCGTGATTTTCGGTGTATAAGCGGATGGCATACTCAAAGGTTCCATGAATGAAATTCAAATAATAGTGGCATAACAGTAGGATAATGAGCGATGAATTATGAAAACAGTTTCGGAAAATAATTTTATTCATCAAATAGTTCAGTAATTTTCCCCAAATTATTTGGTACGGCCCGGCCGACCCTGCCGTCCCTGACGAGCCGTCACTGAATTAGAGTGTCAAAAATAGGCATAAATACGTATTCAGAATGAAATTTTATCTTCCTCAACACTGTGAAACGTGATTTAGGGTCAAATCAAAACAGGCAACAAAAAATTATGAAATTAAAAAATTACCATGACAATGTTGAATATTTTTTTCTTTTTGTCGCTGAATGAAGTCAGGGAAAAATAAAAACCAAATTTCATTTTTTCGCATTATCCTGATGTACATCTCCTGAAATAGGCGGATTTTTTTGTCTTGTCGGTATTCTGATTGCGTAACTTTGCCAGTAACAGTATCTAAGATATTCATGCATATATATAATATAATTTGAAACAGCCTGTATATACTTATCGATAACACACTTGTTGATAATCGATAACTGAAATCCAATATCGGGCAGCCCTTATGACAATGTAGGTAAGGTACCTACCTACCTATACTTTTATTTACTCGTTTGAATTCTGACACTTCACTTTCTCAACAAAGTCACATATCCCACCTGTGAGAACAATTTTTGGTTTTTTGTATCAAACTAAAAGCTTACGGCTTTTCCTTCAACTTTTTTCATAGGTAGCACCCATTATGAAGTAGCGAATGGGAAAGGTCAAAATAGCGAGTGACTATATTCTTGTATAGGTACATACAATTGGGGTAAAATAATTGATCCTGTGGTTTAGCAATAGAGCAAGAATTGTCAATAAGATATAAATCAATCATTATTTGTAACTACTGTTTTGCAGTGGATTCAACTAAAATTTTATATCCTTTGCAACACTGGTTCAAAACAGAGTTTGAACATCGTTGTTGCTAGACTACCTCGCTCTCCTAAGACCAGGAACTGGAGGCAAGGACAGATATATTCGCAAGACAGAGACAAACAAAATGTTTATTTCTATTTCTATGGGGCATGGGGATCGTTATTCGTTATTGGGAGGTGCGGGTGCTTTCGGCTACAGGTCAGTGCCCAGAGTCAACGCGAGGGGAGCGCTAATAATCATATAAAAAACTTGAAATTACATTATATTCATCAACTCACTGCGAGCGTGCGTTTGTAAAACATTTCCACACTAATGCGTTTTACTTTACAATTCTCTGTTACAATATTGAAATGTGCTACTTTCCAAATAACATAACAGTGTGGTAATAGGTACCTATCCGCTGTTTTCATAGATGGTCGTAAGAAAAAGTATTATCGGTCGATGATTTGAACTGAAAGTCACCTTTATATGTATATGTGTATTGTTCATTCTACTTTTTTTGTTTATCGATAGAATGTTTATTTTACTTACCGCGCATATATTATATTATGTTCATACCATCCACGTACAGGACTTCATCCCTTTGTGGATACCTATTTATTCACTTGTTATTTATGTATATACCCTTGTTACCCATTGTGTATTTTCTTTACTTAGGTGAATAAATTATTAGTATTATTATTATTATGAAATTTGAAATTATTCAAATTCCAGTCACGACTCTGCGGCCTCCAACGCAGTAGGTATAGGTGCAATCCTTTTGTTTCTTCCCATTCGATCGGAGCCGCTGATCGTACGGTCGGTTCTGCCTTCTGCAATGTCTATACAGGGTGTGTCATTATTGTTGGATGAAACTTCAAGATCAGATTTTATGGGCCAAAATATGAACAAAGTTCGTATGAATATAATTTCTGGAAATGATTCGTTCCGAGATAGGTACCTACAGGGTGTACAATTTTTTTCTGAACTTCAACCGATTTCATTTACGATAAGTGGGTTCTTGTTTTGCCATAATTATCCGATTGATTTCTAGAGTATTTTTCTCTCTCAACAGCCATGCATAGGTTTGGTTTCCATTTTTTTCCTCGAGAATTAAGCTAGTATAACTCTATTTATATTTCGACTCAACAAATCTGACCTCGAAATTTCGTGCAACAATAATGAACACCCTGTATAAGCAGCGACAGGACATCGCGCCAGTTTCCAGTTCTTCCTTTAGTAACAACAAATAAAAGCTTGTTTTGATTTTTTTTTTGTTTATTCATTCAACTTGTTTATTCATGCAACATACAAGACACTAGGACAAGTGAAACTAAAAAAAAAAATCTCCGACCCCAAAACCCTCCACATATATACATAACAATTTTGAATAGAATTGGACCATAATCACAAAACTTGTCCGCCACTTATTTGGAGCCGCCATGTTGAATTTTCGAACTTTGACAAAAAATTATAATCTCCGATTCCGAAAACCCCCAAAAACAAATTTTGAATAGTCATAATCACAAAACTGTTCCGCCATTTTTGAGCCGCCATGTTGAATTTTTAAATTTTGACAAAAAATCATAGGTAATCTCCGACTCCGAAAACCACTCTGCTCCGCCATTTTGGAGCAGTCATGTTGAATTTTTGAATTTTGACAATAAAATATAATCTCCGACTGCGAAAACAATCAGATACCGAATAGAATGGTCCCATTATCAAAAAAAACTCTTCCGCCATTTTTGAGCCGCCATGTTGAATTTTTGAATTTTGACAAAAAATCATAATCTCTGACTCCGAAAACACCAAGATACCGAATAGAATGGGCCCATTACCAAAAAACTCTTCCGCCATTTTTGAGCCGACATGTTGAATTTTTGAATTTTGACAAAAAATCATAATTTCTGACTCCGAAAACACCAAGATACCGAATAGAATGGGCCCATTACCAAAAAAACTCTTCCGCCATTTTTCAGCCGCCATGTTGAATTTTTGAATTTTGACAAAACATCATAATCTCCGACCCCGAAAACCCACAAATACAAATTTTGAATAGAATCGTACCATAATCACAAAACTATTCCGCCATGTTGAATTTTTTTATATTGACAGAAAATCATAATCTCCGAATCCGAAAAGCCTATATAGATACGTAGATACCTACAAATTTTTGATAGAATCGGACCATAATCACAATAAACTCGTCCGCCATTTTGGAGCCGTCATGTTGAATTTTCTAATTTTGACAAGAGAATCATAATCTCTGACTCCGTAACCACCAGATACCAATTTTGAATACAATCGGTCCATAATCACAAAACTCGTACCTACACTATTTTGCCACCATTTTGATTTTTTCCATTTTTGACAAAAGAATCATGATCTCCGACCCCGAAAACCCCCAAGTACCTACTAATTTTTAATCGAATCAGATCATAAGCACAAAACCAGTCCGCCATGGAGCCGCCATCTTGAATTTTTCAATTTTGACAAGAGAATCATAATCTCCGACCCCGAAAACCTAATTATTTCATAATGCATTGTCACCAAAATCATGTCCACCTGCCAAGTTTTTAATCAATCGGACGATCAGAAAGTGCGTCAAATTTAACTTGCAAGATTTGATGATGCTTGTAAAAAAAGACCACATGTAACATTTTTGCTTTGAATGAAATGCTTGATATTGATATCACTTGATACCTATTGAGTTTCCAACTATTCTCGTAGATAACAATTCAGTGCGAAATTCCCGCGTTCTGCCAAAGCCCTCATGATTTATCTCTGACAATAATAATCGTGACGGCTCGGTTCTGGTTCTACCATCCCCTACTCTTTGGTTCTACGCTTCGCGATGTAAACATAAACATAGTAAACAAAGTCAGGTCAGCCATTATCTGGATCGAGATCGAGACCTATAAATACTACATATTTTGCGCGGACGGTAAGAGCAAGCACACATCCAGAATTTCACTCCATATTTGAACCCAAGAATATAAACTATATTCATATTTGAACCTAAGAATATAAACTGTGTTATTTTTATATTCTATGATTGATCGATCAATTCTATTCCGATTCGATGCTAGTATTCCGACACCTATGGAGGACTTGCCCGAACTGACTAGAAAGAAGGAAACTACGAATACGTACTAGGGGTATATCGTGGCGCACTACCGTCTTGAAAATTCTCATATTTTAGTGCAAACGGCCATCTCACCGCCATCTAGACAAAAGTTTCAGAAGTAGGCAGTGAAACGGCGATCTTAAGCTGTAGTGAAACATTTTAGTTGGATCAAAACGAAAGAATATCACCAATATGATGCATTTCGATGCATTTTCATCATAGTGCCGTTATAATCTGATTGATTGATGGTTATTCAATTTTTGACTGAAATTAGCAAGTTTGACACTCATTTTCATGTGTCAATATTATAATATACAGTGAGGACCAAAAGTCGGTCGCCCTCCCTTGTAACTTCATTATTTCACGTATAACAAAAAATGTTGAATGTATAAGTTGTAGGGTTTCATTCGATCTGTTCAATGATTTAAGTTTCATTCATACAGAGTGTCTCAGAAAAGCGCAGCGACTTAGAAGTTCATTTTTAAAATGCATTGTTGAATTTTGAACAAGTTTGATGGATTGTTTTATATCACAAAAATTAATAATTTTGGCATTATGAACAATTGTGATATATTATTTCGACTATTGCAGCACCAGTTCAGTGAAGAAATCGTTACAAATGCAGACAATGTATTTTACTTTCTTATCCTGACCTTTTGAAAGCTTTCAACTTTATCTGTGATGTACAATAAAGAACTTACGGGAAGAGGGGCAACGGACTTTTGGTCCCCACTGTATAATATACACAGTGAATTGTTTATTTCGATTTTTGAGACTTCCACCTGCTCGAATTACTTTGCATGTAATAAGATGACAAAAATAGATGTTATACAGTGTTTTATGACGCTTACCTTCACCCTTTGCATATGCAAGTCCTGACTCCTCTGTCGTTTCTCCAACTCCACTTTTCTTGTCAAGAGATCCCTAATCTCATTGGAAGCGTTCGCCGTTATTTGTTCTTTCTGTTCATCTTCTTCGTCTTCGCTGAAACTCTCCAACAAGACGTCATTGTTCTGTTCCTATAACAAAATATACAACGCCTTCAGGAAGATAGATGCGATTCAGTATTCAGATACCTAGTTAACACTGCACGACATTACATTTACTAGTGGTTCCTGAAGATATAACCACCTATTATTAATCTAACATTGCAAAGCCAAATTCCGATATCTACATGCAAAAATTCAATCATCCTAACATCAGGCAAAATATGGAAGAAAAGGAAATGATGGAAAGAAATGCCTTCCTCGATGAATGTTCAGAGCAAATTTAACCAAGTTTCGGAATAATTTCTACCCTTAACAAAATATCACGAGCAACTGAATATCTGAGATTATTTTATTCACACCCGGCTGGTCCTATGAAATGTCCTGATTGAAGTCACATAATATGCGATATCAGCGGCTATTTAGGTAAACAAACAATATGAGCGGCTATTCTGTTCGCCAGCATAAGAGTGCTATGGTGGTCAAACTTTGACATACCTATCAGTCACTCAAAAATTTAAATGTCTCGTTTTGGGTCAACTTCCACTACAGAAATCCATAATTATGTAAGCGAATCGATATCAGAAAATAACAAGGGGAGTAAAGCATATGTCTGGAACAATTCATGTTTCTGTGCCAGCAGAAAAACTATGAATTTTGTGCAATTACCCCAACTCTCGTGATTGCCCAAATCCTGAAAGATTGGGTGAGGAGAATGGTGAGGAATATAAGGAATACACAGTTGAAATTGATATTGAAAACTATATACAAGAAGGTTACCTCAATGAACATAAACGTAAGACCAATCCATTTGAATATATTGAATTTAAAGGTGCCAGGGTTGTGAATAATGCAAAAAGGTGAAGCCTACAATATTTTCCTCAAATAAGAAAGGAAAGTACAGAAGCTCTAATCGAAGAATATTATCGCTATCAATAGCGTTAATATTCTTTCTTTGTTCTAACTTTAGATGAATTGATTGCAATTCTACGTAGATATAATGAGAATACCTCAGACGGCCTTCAGAAGAATTTTTATTCTAATAGTATCTGCAAAATTTTAAAATTCAACTTGAATAAAATGTTGAAACTCACATAAACCAGTATTTTTACACTGTTCATGAAATAATCTTCCTGAATATCACTCGACCATGACAAATGGAGACTATTATTTTCTTTAATTCATCTCGAGAAACTTGTATTTTGGGACAATTCAATTCGACCATATGAACATAAATAATCATGTAGACTTTTTCCGGATTAGAAAAATACAATTATGGAATATAGAGAACTCCAGACACACTTTCGAGTGGTAGTACGAAACACGAACAAGATGACATCTATGTTATTTTCAACATTTTCAACTACAATGATTATTATTATTCATCAGAATGTTCTCCATCGAAACCGTATTGCATTAAAATATATTCGATCCAAGCGTAATTTAACGGAGCAGTAACTTATCGAAATGTCAAACATCATAATGTAATTGTAGGATCGTGAAACATCATACCATATTCCATACGAATAGTGATTCATCATAACCGTATTCCATCAGAATGGTATTTTATCATAATCGTATTCTGAGGAAAAGTTTTTCAACAAAACTGTATTGTATCAGGAAGACAATTCATCGGAACTATATCTTGTCGCGACAATATTTCGTCAGAATCGTGATGGTGATAGATCATAACCGTAATTCATCTTGATAGTGAATAATCAGATCTGTAATTCGTCGAAATTGTATTTTGTCATAACCTCTCGTGCGCTCCAATCGATGAAAAACAGATGAAAAAAACCTTCGGGACCGTAATTCATCGAAACCGTAATTCATAGAAACCGTATTGAAGCTGAACGGTATTTCGTCAGAATGGTACTCTATCGCAATCATGAAAAATCACAACATATCAGAGCATAAAATCGACATTGTGATGAAGTTTTCTGTATCATTCTGGTTCTTTGCCGCTTCGAATTACTGTTCGGATAGGAATATGGTTCCAATGGAATACGGTTCTGGTGAACTACTGTCGCTGTCCTATGAATTAATGTCTCGATGGAATATCAGTTGCTACGGTATATGGTTCTGATGGAATACGGTTTTGATGGAATACGGTTCTGATGAAATAAGGTTCAAATGGAATACTGTTCTGATGAAGTACTGTTATGAAAAACGGTTCCGACAAATTGAGGTCCCGATGGAATGCAGTTTCTATGAAATACGGATTTCATGAAATACCATTCCGTCCTCGCATTCGCGTAGTTGTTTGAGCTGCGGTTCGAGTTCGAGAGTACTCACCGACTGAAGGGCGGCTACCGCGGGCGACCCTCGGCCGCCCGTCGACTGGCTCACCACCGAAACGTACTCCCGGCGCCCGTCTTCGATCTCGAGCTTGAGCACGGGCGGCTCCAGGCCGCACAGGAACATCGTGCCGAAGAAGAGAAGGCGAGAGATGCGCAGAGCGGAGTGCGCGAGGTCGGGGTCGAGGTGGGCGGGCGCATAGGCGGGGGCGGCCGATTTGCGCTTCATGAGCGGCGTGAAGCCGGTGAGGACGGTGTCCTCGGGCAGCCAGACCGGCTCGTAACCTGAAAAAAAAGAGAATCGGGTTAGGTTATTTGGGATTTACAGCACGGTTGTGTCGATTTGAATCAAATGAGTTGAATCATGATTCAAATCAACTGATTTTTTCAATTCCAATCGTAATTTGACGCTCATTGTGAATAACTGTGAAAAATAGTGTCCGGAGCAGATAAGAGAATTGAAGAAAGGAAGTAATTTTATTTATCTACAACTATGGAATCATTCATACATTGCTAACTCGATTTTCGACATTTAATGACATACATTATTGTGATGAATGGAGTAATAAGAGTAATAATGACAGAGGGATGGCGTAATAATCTGATATCCCATCGTCTTGTCAAATTCAACTAGGTAGGTATTCGTTCTACTAGTTCTACTGAAGCACACCACTATACTACTGTTTCTGAAATACACGCAAATTCAAAAGACTCACCTTACATGGTTCTCATAGTATCAATCACCTTAATTCTACAAATACACGAAAAATGAGAATTCACTGTTTTTCATTCTCAACAGTGACTACCTTCATGAATATAACCATAACCATAAAATAGGACTTGACACTTGCAGATTGGCTCACACTTATGTGCGGGCTATTCGAATAGATTAGTACAGACCAATCAGAACCATCGAACTTCCTTGCTGATAACTAGCGTCTAGAAACAGGGTACTACAATTAATCATCGCGATGGGGGAATGCTACAGCAGAAGTAAGTTAATGAATAGTCTGCAATAGTATGATTCATTTCACAATTGAAAAGTGAGATGGCATATAATACATGATAAGATTGACTGATATGTGATCGCACGACTTTTTTCCTGTTAATGAAAGTTAGATTCAACATTGTTTATCATATTTTCGCAATCAAAATTATTGAAATAAGTAATAAGCACTTTTCCCACTTGTTGCAAAATATACTATTTTTCTGTGACGGAAAAAAAGTTTGGCATTTCATCTCTGTTAGCAGGTTATAAAATGTCACTTTTCATAAATTACTTTTTTCCCGTGGAAAAAAAGTGAATACTTTTTTCCCGGATATACACTTTTGATGGCTTTTGTTGTGCTATAGTTCCGAAAAATGAGTCAATAATACCGTCTCCGAGAAAGAACTGCAAGTCCTTTTATCTTCCATTCGACTTCGCGGTTACGTATATTACTAAACAACCACTAAATTCGCAATTTTTTAAATCAAATCACAGAATTCGACTGACAGAAGTGACATCAGATATTTGATTACTTCAAAAGAATGATAAAGATGCCTACATCGCAGGTGTCCCTACTGTTATGAACTCAAAATTTCACGTCGATAATAATTTTCAGATTTCAAAATAATGTAATATCTTCTCAATATTGATTCGTCCTTTCTTCTGTCACAGAAAAAAATAGTGTATTATACACGGGAAAAATATTAGATTTTAGCTCACGGTTTTTGTCTCTCTCCGCTACGCGTCGGGAGACAACACAACCTGGAGCTAAAATCTACTACTTTTTTCCCTTGTATAATAAATAACTATTATGAACATTTGAAAAAGAGATAATACGTTTTTTGTGTTATAACAGGTTTTCTAAACAGAGGCCATGTGCTTCTTTTTTTTCGGATATCTTGTAGCGACTCCACTGGCTTATCTGTCTAAAATGGCTTAGTGTATGCACACAAATAAAATGGTGGCATTTTTTTTATTGTGAACTATAGCGGCTCGTATAATTTCAAATTTTCGTCAATTTTCATGTTGATATTATTTTTACCATGTTTTTCTATGAATAAAATTTGAAAAATGTATCTCTCGTTATCCTTCTCTCGCATCAGGAGTTAGAGCCTGTTCCCGTAGATCATAAATGATCGATTATAACAGCATACACATTTACAAGTTTTTAATGCAACTGTAAGTTGGAGAACTTTCAATGACGTGATTCACTCTGTATGTTTAAGAATTTCACATGGTTAAAAATTCAACTTGTCAATTGGTCACCTTATTATTCAGCATAGTGCATAGGAATACGCTAAATGACGAGCAGTCTTTCTCTCGAGCGCAATGACCTTCAGTCTCCCAATTGATACCACCTGTAAACTTTAATTTTCATTCTTTCTTCTCTCGGCAACAACATTAAAGGCATCATAACTGATCAGGATCAGGTTTTTTTTTCCTTTAAGATATTCGATACCAGATGAATCGTGACCGGACAAATCACACCGATCCAAATGAGAAGGAAAAAAAATGGACAAATCAAAACGATTAGATCGATAATGGCTCGAAGATATTTGCATGAGCGAATGCAATTAGCATAATTCAAACAAACTCCTCCGAACATAACCTAGACAACTCGGTGTTATTCGTATCAACGTGTGAAATGCAAATAAACCGTCCGACAACAAAGAATAAGAATAACACGTTCCCACCATTCGGAATATTAATAATACGAATGGCGGAGACCTGCGAAAGGAAAAGATAAATAAAGTAAATGGGGTCATTGCCACCGAAGATTATATTTTGATACAGGAAACAATCAGTCATTCGTTTGACTAGCGCCGTTATCATTTACGATTTCATTAGTGAAACTACAATTCGGAATAAAAAAAAACTGGATACGAATAATGCCCACTACAACTTGAACCATTCAAGAATCTGTGGTGAGGAAAATATATTCTACTAGAGCACCTAATAACAGGTCTCGTAACTCTTGTAGAGAAGACATTTTGACAGGTTCAAATGCGTCATATTTCGCATTTTTTGTCCAACAGTCCACGGAAATACATTCATTGAACACAGCGATATGCTTCAGTCCAACAAAAATTCACGAAATATACGATTTTTCTCCAAGCGGAATAGAGAGTAGTTTTCCTATGACAATTAAAAAGCAGGAAAAGTTTGTTGCAACGTTCCAAGTAATTTGAATGGAAAATTCCAATACCTACCTCCTGTCCCTATCCTCCCTAGGAACGCACGATGTTCTTTGAACATTATAGGGGATTCCCTTTCGTGCGCTCCAAAAGCGATAAAAAAAAATGGTAATCAAGATTGACACTGACATTGGATGAACACAAAATGATGAAGTTTTCAGTAAAAAAAATTACACAAAATTGGTTTTATAATATTTGGAGATGAATAATAGTACATTACATAACTAGTGTGGAAAGTGACATAATTCGCACGAGTGATAGCACGACGCCGCGTACGAGTGCATGATCATAATAATTATATTATTGAATAATAAGACACAAAACACATGGAAAAAATTTCAAACATCTACTTGTTTTCAAATAAACACTTTATATGTTTTTAATTAATCGAACTTATTATTCGCGGTAGTCAAGGTCATCATCTGACGTTGCGATGAGACGAAAACTACGGGAAAATATTCCTAACTCCTGGGCTGGATTAGATTGAAAGTTAGATATGTTTTTCCATAGTTTTCATGTCATCGCAACGTCAGACTACCGCGAATTAGGTAAGTATACCTATTAGGTACTTCTTATTTATTTCCGAAAGATGAAAATTGAAAGGGATATGGTTTGAAAATTATATTTGTTTAGAAAAACAATGTAACTGAAATTTCACGAAATACGCCTACTTGACTTCGAAGTTTCGCTCGTTGTCAACGGCTACCACGAAACCTCTTAACCGCGCAGTCCAAAATACAGCACAGAATGCCAGAGTGTAGGACAGCAATGAGGTTATGTCTCGCAGATTGAGACAAAATGACAAATACCCAAATCTGCACAATTATTAGTTCTCATTGATCCGGAATGAGGCAAAATATAAACTCTCTAGAACAAAGATCATGGCGTGCGGGAATATTTCCACACTGTGTGTTCTACTTTTGGATTGCTATGGTGATATGAGCTACTTTCTAAGCAATAACTGCTTTCATAGATGGTCGTATGAAAAACCGATTCCATTTGACATGATTTATCCTCTCTGAATTTTGTTCTTATTTGTAATGTCACCCAACTGACTGCTCTAAGCATAAGCAACGGTCCACCTCTTCCGGTCCAACTTTCGGAGAAGATGTATTTCAAATAGTCCATTTCCAAGGCCTTTTGTATCCTAGGACATAAAGTCTCTTGATTTTTTTTTGTCTGCTGAAGGTGTGTCGAAAACATCAAATCATTTTGAGGTGATAAATCCCATAAAGCACCCTATATATTAGTGAAGAAGAGAAGACAATTTCTGATGGTCATCAGGTATTCCCCTCAGGCTCACCATTGTGGTAGGAGTATGTACAGTTCCTCATGACTCACCCTGTATATCTTTCGACTGCGCTCTTATAACGCTCTATTGTCCATGTAAGTTTGTATCTATGCGTCGCCATTTCACCCTGAAGTTCCATTTCATTATTCATTTCTGTTACTTTCTCATACCCGATATTCACCAGACCTGCATAATGCGTACAGAAAAGCTCTAGCCTTTTTGCGTATTTTGGAATAAACGTTCCTTCATTTTTGTATATTATTTTCAATATTTTCATTTGTTGAATTGTTTTGGTTGGTTGTTGACAATGATAATTATTACTGACTTTGATAACTAGTTGTCATTTGTCTTCAAAGTCGAGGTAGGTAGGTAGGTAGGTAGGTAGGTAGGTAGGTCGAACACTGTCACTGTCGAAGTTCAAGTATGGAATACTGTTCCCATATTTGAAGTGCAGTACCCAAACATACCCTGACACTGTTGGATTCTATCCAACAAAAAAGGGCAATTCGTCTCGTGGGTCACGCCTCGCTCACAAAGTACCTCACTTCTCTGGAACACCGTAGAAAAGTTGGCGATCTGGCTCGATTTTATAGATATTTTCATGAAATATCAACAATTGTTCCTCCCTGGAACACATTGCCATGGGAGGTGTTCCCGAGGCATATAACCTCCATAAATTCAAGGAGAACACCAATTCTTACCTTATTTCCCTTGATTCTCACGATGTTCTCTGAACATTACAGGATATCCCTATTCGTGGGAACCAGAACATGAAAAAAAAACAACAACCAGTCTATAGTAATGATCTCAGGCATTCATACCTGTCCTGTTCTCCTGTGCTCTGTAATTTGTATTCATGAATATTCGACATTAATGAAAAGTTAATTAACCTCATCAATTTCTGTTTAGAAAAATAGAAAAGCAAAGGAAATAAATATGCATTAAATCTATTTCCGTGGTTTGAACCGTGTTTCTGATACTCCAGTTGAAACTAATGAAATAGTTCGAATGGATGAGTTTTCAGGCCTAAAATGAAAGCACCAGTAACTGTCTCCGACAGAGAATTATTATGGTTCCTGAATTTTTTTTCCTTAGAGCTGTTTTCATTTTTATTCAACAATAACTATATAGCTACCAGTATTCCAGGCTAATCCCAGGGTATGTAATTGAAGCCTATATTCTCCTGATCCAGGTCTAATCAATAACATTAACCCCTGGTTGACTGTAGACACCTACTGTGAATTACTTCACTGTTGCTACATAGGCCTCCTCACAAAGTCAGTTTGTAGGAGCAGGTGAAGTAAATTACCGTCATGAAAAACTGGTGCCCGAGATATCAGAAACAGGTAGGTACCAAAAAGCGCCAAAGTAAAGGCACAGAAATGAAGGATCTTACAATTATTTCCAGTTCAGAGTACCAATAATTATTGTCAGTTCTATGTGACAAATGTAAGTTCAAAGTGACAACAACTGTTAGTTCGAAATGACAATTGCCACTCAAAGAGGCAAGTCCTCATGTTTTGTAAAAAGTAAAGTTGTTAGCCCTTGTAGTCCTTCGTATCAAGTACATTCACCTTCGAAAATGAACCGTCTGGGAATTTGACCGAACCCGACAATTTCACCTGGCGCATCAAGATGCTATCACAAACTATTGATTTATACACTGTTCTTCTCAATCAACTCGAGAGATGCAAATCCATCCTAATTATCAGTCTCACGTACATACGTAGAGGCTAAGGGTCGTTCCCCGACTTTTTTTCAAACCTCCGCGGAAATTTTTTTGGCAGACAAATTGCATTTTCGATCGGCCCGCTGCAATTTGGGCAGGCGTGTGACCAGACGATGTACAGCGATTATTTTCCGGTAATTCGTTCGCGAGTAACCTGTTATTTGATTCATGCTGCCATTAGCGTAATGGTGCGAGAAGGAGATATTTCGAATTTTTTTGCTTCGCCGATAGCATTGATGATTCGAGCACTCCGGTGATCATGATTGATGTTCCGTGAAAGTACGTTTAGAACGTGTCAAGACAACGTTGATTTTGGTAGAGTTCTCCATTACACCCAATAAAATGAAGCAGAGAAATGAAGTTTCCAATGTGGGGGTGTGAAATTTCAATATACACGTTAGAAAAGCCACATTCACACAGAGATGAAATACGATCCCCTTACGACTTTGCCGGCATCATCAATATGTCTAGAATTCCGGAAATTGATCTTTGAATAAATTATAACAATATCATAACAGCAATGAGATATAATGGATTTTTCAAATCCTTCTTCGCCAAGAATTATGAATGAGTTTCATAAATCTAATATTTGCTGGCTGAAATTGAATACCAATGAAGGTTCATTATGATATCTTGCAATACTATCTGTCTTTTTGAATTATAAAACTAAAGGAAAGATGCAGATTATATCTTGCAACAGCGCATAATACTTCGAGCCCGTTCACACCACACAAAATACTAACAGGCACACCGACAGATGATCTGATATTGTGGTTATGTATGTTTCTGTTTACCAATTTCACTATAAACATCAACGACAACGCCAAGTTGTCTTCATCTTCTATTTTTTTATTCGTTTATATTCGTTAGTTATTTCGTAGCTATATTTTTCATTATACACGGTGACTTGAATAATGCAATTATTCAAAGATTGTAACGTTGATAAAAAAGACTCCTTATGACACATTGTTCTAAAAATTGTTATAGGAGTATTTTTGGCTAGTCCAAACCGATTGTCATCATCAATAATTTTGAAAATAATGCCTAATCCGTTTTCATCAATTTTGCTGCAGTTTTTGTGATCGCAGTAGGCTATGAAATTGTGATTGATGATTTCATTTTGCTTGAAAAAGTAGATAATTTTGAGTATTATATCATGAAAAAAAATCTTGAAGCGTCCTAGGAATAAGAAAGTACAGGGGTGGGGTGGACCAAATTGTAACACACTGTAATATTCATCTGGCAAATTCCTTTCCAGTGCCTATTTCAAGTCTGAATTTGTTGATGATTGTGGTCTATATTGAAAATGAATTGATAGATATTCCATGATAATCATCGAGTGACCAGTGAATTTCATCAGCATTTAAGTATACAGGGTGAGTCACTTTTTTTAAGCAAGACTCAAACAGCTCATAGAAGAAATGTTTTCAAGATGAAAAACTACCATAAACATATTTGCCTGGGAGCTTCGTTTTCGATATACAGGGTTTCAAAGTTTGCACGACCCCAAAAGTGTATCATCCTGTAGGTATTCAAGAGCGCTCGATAACCTCAAATATTTCGCTTCCAAAGTTTACCAGATTTAAATTCATTATTTTGGGAATTGTAGGAGGTTATTGGAAAAACACAAAAAAAATCTTAAACATTGAAACCCTGTATATCGGAAATGGAGCTCCCACGCATATATGTTCACATAGGTTTTCATCTTGAAAAAATGTCTTCTCTCAGCTGTTAAAGTCCTGCTACAAAAACTGACTCACTCTCTATATTCTTGGAGGTATAGAATTCACGAAGATGTCCTGAGTGAAATAATCAATTTCAACAAACAAACAAATTTCAGAGAACAATAATTTTTAAAATATGTTCTTGACTTTTGCTGTACTCATTGGATAGTAGAAATCACATTTGTGAATCTTGAACAAACTATTGGGTAGGTAATTAGTTTTTAGAAAACAAGATTTATGAACAAGAGGCGACAGGTTTCAATATTTTTGTACAAATTACCATTCATTACAATCAACTATGGTTAAGAACTAGTTTTACTTTCAATACGTACTTATTATTGAAACCTTGTCATATCAGATAAACGTATTGATCAATTTCACTGTATCGCATTTAGTTTTTCCGCGATGCCTAGTAGCAGATGGTTAGTTATTGTAACGTTCTGATGAAGTATATTTTACTGTGACAAAAGTTTGTTCCAATTCTAGTAGTTTTTACCATTCTCTTTTCTGCATGCGTATTTGTTACTTTTTCATTGACGTTTGTATTTACAGTAAGGACCCTCGACAATCAGTGACAGTTATACCTAATTTTTGTCCTTGTATAATCGTGAAGCAAAAAAATAATAATGACAAATGATTCAATTTGAATTCTGACTTGATTATATTATATTTTTTATCCGTCATTAATACCCAATTAGTTGCAGAAAAATGTGCTTCTTAAGAGGTTTCAGTGACCCTGACGCGAAATTCCCAATATTTACTGCTATCATGGAAATTCTTCCGGTAGCTACCGTTAGAAGAATTTGAGGATTGCTCAAACCAATTTTGAATCGAAATCCCATAAAATCATGCGATATGTAAACAATTTGCATTCCGAAGAGATAATTGTGTTTAGAATAACTTAACATCTGAATTCGATTACATTAGAGGAAAAAAACAACGTTTCATGAAATGAATGGAAAAGAGGTGAAATTCCCCTAAAGTCAGCCCTAATTACCCCAGCCAGGATGAAAAGATAATGCATTTTTTCGTTGGCCCACCCTGTTTCAATTTCACATAATACCACTGGAAAGCATTTGAACTAATCAATTCAAAAAGGTGTCAAGATGTGACTCAGGTAGTTGATATTACTGTGATGTAATATAAAGACAGTATTCAAATAATTCATGATATACAGGGTGTTTCATTACTAATTGGAAATATAACTCAAAATACGAAGATTTAACCAAAGTCATTTAGATAAAATGTGTGACATATTACAGGGTATTTCAAATTAAGATTCGGAAATAATTTGTCCTCGATATTTTGAAACTATTCGACGTATTATTGTCATATTTGACGGAAAGTGTAGAGGCGTACGACATGGGCAGGTGATTGGTTGGTCCTTCCCAAATTCTACGCCACTGGCGGAATTGCAGTTCTATCACAATTTTCAGATTCTCAAATTCCCTCTACGTAAATATCGTACACTTCCTTTATAGCGACAAAGTCATTATTTACCACGATATATCAAGTTAACAAACTTGAAGCTGTATAATTATTTTGATTTTGAGGTGTTCATCATTCTGTCAGGGTTCTGGGTCATTGTATTGCATTCATCAAGCAAATGAAACTTCAATCCGTACTAATAAGAACAACATAATGTTATTTTTGGAAAGTTCGTCTAATAGTTTCGAGGTACTGAGCAAAAATCTTTTTAAATATTTCAATGAAGCTCGCCGTAACTCAGACAGAAGACACATTTCATTCGTTTTAAATTCGTAATATCGAAACCAGCCAGAGGTCAATACATTCTCATTTTCTCCTTCTTCTTCTCCTTTCTTTTCCTTACCTAACGCTTGTTCCTTGTATTTCCTTCATCTAATCTCTACGGCTTTCTTCAAGTTCCTCTTCTTTATTTTTCTTCACAGTTCTTCTTCTTTAAATTCTTTTCTTTTCGGAATCTAGGTTGACAATAATGCGAAAGTATGTCTTTCACCATCAGTTCTAGTTTTATGATGTTCGTGCTTTCTTGTGGCAGCTTGATATGTCCGTATTCGATTATTATTATCATTATCTGAATCAATTTTTTCAAGTAAACATAACGTGACGATTCGCATTTATGAAAAACTGATTTTTTGATGTTCAACAGTATCAGGGTCAGGTTTTTCTGGCTCTTCAGCCGTTCATACCTGACGTACCATGATGGATGGTAACCCGACTTGTTCTAGATGTCTCTCCCTTTGATACAATGTGACGACAGTAAGTTTTGTACTTGGAATTTTCATTTTCTTTGGAGATCATTGAACAGGAACATAGGAACAGTGTTGGTGCAAAAATTGATCCTTCCTGGAATATAATGCAGTATGGACTGCCACCTGCAAAGCTGTGGATAGGGCAGGTAGTTACCCCAAACAGATCTTTGATATTTTAGTGCCACAATAAATTCTAGTCGGACGAAAGAATTTATGTATATGGTATCAGACGATACTCCATCCACTAACAGAAGCGATCTGTCGATAGATGAAGGTATAACTAGGGTGGTGAGCCATATGTAGAGATGTTCATGTTTTTCCTAGTCAACCTTTATCGATAGAATCTGACCCTGATTTTTATGCATTAGGTTCACCTAGAGTTCCTAAATGTTCTCGACACTGCTGTTCTGACGTATTTGTATATTAGAGTACAGACACTAGACAAGCAGTGACAATCAAACATAACCACAAACGATTTTGAAGCAAATCATATGTTTTGCGAGACAAGGACAAGAATATGTTTTCCGCTTAGATAAAGGATCCTCGCATCTTCCATCCTCCACAAGTCCTGGGAAGAGTACATCCATATATATTTCTCTGTCTTTGATTTTTGTATGAGAGGCCATAGCGTCTCCTCGAGTGGGTAAAAGGGTACGATAAATTGATTCGGAAATCATTTCTTCTCGGAATATTGAATGATAAGGCTGAAGGACCTCAATGGAGGTCGATATCAAGTTAGTAGGTACATAATATATATCAACGAAATACATATAGTATTCCTATGAAATTAGTCTCTTATATGTAGGTATATAAATTCGTTCAGTTGAATATTTGTTCATCACAAAAGATCAGAATGGGGTAAAAACTGATAAATTTCAAGAAACATACTTTTACTAGTACAACAGAGTGGTAAGTTATAAATAATTAATAAATTATAACAAATGATATGGCAATAATAACAGCTGATTTCAGTTAGGATAAATAATATAAGTTCTCCAAGACATACGGAAGTAGGTATAAATGGACTTCAGCGCTCGACTCACTATATAGATCGCCGTTCACATTGCTAAAGGGGATTGTTGGTTGAACCCGGCCATCGGAAGATCATTTCAGTACCTTACATAAATGGTGCACTAGTTAAGCGTTCTTGTTCTGTCCTCTGATAATATTTTGCTCGTATCTTGGTACCACAGACGTGGTTCAAAATCCACTAGGAGCTATGTAGTCGTCTAGCACTACAAGAGTTGGTATACGAAGATGATCTAAAGAATCATTGATTGAACAGGGATGTGAAATCAGTTTGAGTCAGTCAATTCAGGAAGTTCCTGTTATTTCATCATCAGATTACCTCCATGGGGGCTATTGTGATATAAGCTCCATCATTCCATCACAAGCAATAACCAGATTTCTAAATTGGGATAAGGTTCTTTTCGATACTCGCTCAGTTTATAAATTGTGGGTTCGGCTCTTTCTCTCAATACGATCCTATTCTTCAACTTCCTACCAAGAAATTTGAATACCTCGCAAATTTTGTGGCCTGAACCTATATTCCATGCCGGCTGCATCATATTCTGTTCCCATTTTTGTAAAATTACGTTATACGATGTAAATTCGAATAGAGTGAATTGATTACCTGTGTTCTCACAGTTGGAAACTGCGCAAACTTGCATCTTTCTCCTAATTCTCTCAATTTGTCAAACCTTTGAAATTTATGTCATGTACGTCCGTGTACTATCAGTTCCCGCTTTTTCCATCAATTTATTTGTGGTTATGTCTGATTGTCAGTGCTTGTCATAGTGTCCGTACACTGATATACAAAAAACGTCGAAATCAGCAGTGTCAAGCACATTTAGGAACTCTAGGTTCACCAACACATTTCCAATATCATCTATCAGTCATGACAGCCACAGAAAGCGATGAGATGTTATAGTTCAACGGCCCTTTTCGCTTGGTTCTCTATCGTTCGGTCGAACGAGTCATGCACGAACAACTTCGAAAATAAAGACCGCAGTCATTCGGAATCCCGAGAGATATCTTCTGGTTTACAACTGCTCCGGGCGCAAGTAGGTATGGGCATTAACGTGTGGTGTATTATTCGCCATTAGTAATGTGAAATGGACACAAACCACAATGCAACTTGGAGTAATGAGTGTTCAGACGATTGCGGTGATACAGGAAATCTGATGTACGGTACGGTTTCTATGTTCGATCATATGTATAGGGTGTTCGAAATGGCAACGTCAAGCCGTAAGGGATGGTAAGGGAGTGGCAGGTTAGTGGCGTGTATCTAATGGAAGCTAGTGCCTCTCTTACCCAAATCTCTCGATGAACTAGACATTCACAACCTGTCGTATTGAACGAATCAAGTTTCAAAATGATATTAGGAATATTGGAAGACAATAATATCATTGGCCATGGCGTCAGTCTGTTTTTTTTTCATGATAGACTCGACATTTGGATCAAGGATTTCGTTCCTTGAAACCCATATCTTTCATGAAAAAACAATTGAATATCACTTCTGGTTTCACTGGAAATAGACTTATAGACTTAAGTCAAGGATTTTGAATGGGACTATGTACCTAAATATTTTAACGTCATTCGATAGAGCAAAAAATCCTTTTTTTCTGTGACGGGAAAAAAGTTTGGCATTTCATCTCTGTTGGCAGGTTATAAAATGTCACTTTTCATAAATTACTTTTTTCCCGTGGAAAAAAAAGTGAGTACTTTTTTCCCGGATATATGTAACATATAGTTACACTGTTGATGGCTTTTGTTGTGCTATAGTTCCGAAAAATGAGTCAATAATACCGTCTCCGAGAAAGAACTGCAAGTCCTTTTATCTTCCATTCGACTTCGCGGTTATGTATATTACTAAACAACCACTAAATCAGCAATTTTTTGAAATCCAATCACAGAATTAGACTGACAGAAGTGGCATCAGATATTTGATTACTTCAAAAGAATGATGAAGATGTCTACACAACTCAGGTGTCCCTACTGTTAAAAACTGAAAATTTTACGTTGATAATTTTCAGATTTCAAGATAATGTAATATCTTCTCAATATTGATTCGTCCTTTCTTCTGTCACAGAAAAAAGTAGTGTATTATAGACGGGAAGAATATTAGATTTTAGCACACGGTTTTTGTCTCCCTCCGCTACGCGTTGGAAGACAACACAACCTGGAGCTAAAATCTACTACTTTTTTCCCTTGTATAATAAATAACTATTTTCATGACATATCACAAGTGGACATTTGCTTTTAGAATGGCAGCGCATAAATATTAAAAATTTTAAGAGTTATTGATGAGACATGCAAAAATTTTGATTCATCGCCAGTCAGGATTACTCTTAATAATTCTTTCAAATGACATACTCTCTTGAATTCTCTCCAAAATTCCAAAAGGAAATGATACTTTTCTTAAATTAACATTGAAGTATAATCCAGTATCTACAGGTACACACACAATACACCTCTTGTTTTCATTCTCAATTGAAAAATCTTTGAGGGTTGTCTTTTTCATTATCTACACCTAAATAAATGTCTGCATAAAAATTATTTTTTTCTGCAATCGACTCAGTTTCTCCTACGGACACAATAAAATTATTAGTATGTATGTTGCTAGGTGACACTTTTGGTGTCTAGGAGCTAAAGTTGCATTTTAAATCCTGGGAACTGGAAGTGTGTCGAATGACAGCTGATATATGATAGCTGCTTTGACATGCTCAAGCAAGTAAAAATAGACGTAACTTCACTCATATTTTATTAATTAGATATCCATTATTTTCATTGCAGAAAAAGTAGCATGTTTCATTCGGATCAATAGTGTCTTTGTTTGACCGCAAATTTTGCTTTCGCTCGGCTTCGCAGTCGCTACGCCTCGCAAACGCAAAATTCACTGTTGAGTTAGAATGCAAAAGTGCGTTCGGTTATTTGATTGGAAAAAAATTACTTGCGAGGCTTTCGAAAACCTCCAAATGATAAAATATATCCGACCACATTGTATAAGTTTCGATAAGATTCAACTCGAAAACAGTTTTCACATTCTCAGAATCTTTTTCGAATGGGAATACCAAAACATTCTAACGAACAGGTTATGTGATAAGTTCTGTGTATCTATAAAATTGTATCTCTTATCCAATTTGAGACGAATACATACAAAATATAAAAAAATCACACAAAAACTGCAATCTCAACTTTTTGATTTTCATATGTATTATGCGGAGAGGTTTGAATTAAACTTGAGTGAAACAATATCGAAAATGATCACAACCTTGATTTTTTTCGTATTCAACAACGGAATATTGTCTCAATGTCACCCATTCTCCCTACTGTTTACATCATTTTTGTGGATTTCTCTGAAATTCTAATCTTCAACTATCAATTTAAGCGATCTGAGATTGCAAAATTTAAAAATATTCGCCTGCGGCACAGTTTTTGCAGTATTTTAGTCCTAACTTGCCCTAACTTATGACACGCCACTGACGTATCTAGCCACTAGACAAACTCATATCTCAAAGAAAATATGATCTGCGAAATAAGGGCTCTTTTCTGGAGAAGCACTTTTTGAAAGCACTCAACTTGTACATACCAATTCGATACAGCCAACGAATATTTCCGAAATATAATATAATTTGTAAGTTTTCTAACGGTTGAAACATCCTGTATTTCTCTGAAAACTTACCTTCTTCGGGATTTTCGATGAAACTTGCTGTAGCAGGTTGATCCGCCTTTTCCAGCAAATTCATGAGAGTTGCCAATCTGCTCCAGGCATCTCCCGGACACCTAAAACAAAATAAATTCCAATAAAAATACAATTCATTATGATCTGCAAAACAATAAAGCGCAAAATCAATTTTGAATGAACAAGGATTATAAGAGAAGATCGAGGCAAGATAGTTCCTAATTTAGCAATATCAAATATGGTGATCTGTATAATGGTATGATGGTATTCGGATATAAATCGGTAGACACCATTTATTTTGGGTGATTAAAAACTGCAAGGCCTATCAGAGAAAAATTATCTTCGGTTTCATCCAATCTTGCAAATAATTATAGATTTTTCATTCCAGTATAGGAATATTCTCACGAAAGATACCAATAGCAGGTTAGACAGCAAACCCATGGAGAAGTTTCAACAAAAACTGTATGTTCGTTCAGAATGGATCAGATTTTACGAATGAGGACTGATCCATGGAGGATAAACATGATTTAATTTATCACGACCTTTTGAGGAAATATCATTTTGCTCCCCAAATTTCGAAAGAAGGTCTTGTTCGTCTGATCCTGTTCCTGTCATGACAACAGTGTTTTCTTTGTTACACCATCAGTCATATGAGTTAAACGGTAATTATAAATTGAAGCGCAGCCGCTGCCGCTGCGGTTGCAGCCACCGTAACAGCTCTGGAAAAATGAGTCAATTTGTACTTCATATAGATTTTTGTTATTTTTATCTTTCTAATTGTATAGATGGGGAGAGCTCTCTACCAAATTTGTGAATACTCCTATATCAATGTTCTTCATTTTCACTATAATTTTCCAACATTCAACAACGGGAAACCAAATTTTGATAAAAATATAACATAACCTCTCGTTGATCATCTTGTTTTATGTCAATCGTCCGCTGCCGCCGTCGCCGAAGATGAAAGTTGGTCTACTTCCTGTCATAACACCAGTGTTATTTTTTATACACGAGAGGGTCACATGTGAATAATTATATAAGTTATTATATCCAGTAAAACTGAAAATGAAATGAAATAAAGATCAGCTGACTCAGGATCAGGATATTCTTCATAAATTTCCAGCGAGAGTCAATAATAATACTGAATAATAATACATACATAAAGAGATGGTATTGACTCAAATAATTTCAATTTTTTCTCAATATTATTGTAGTATATATGGTAGAGTTCACAAATAATAATAGATTTCATTCAAGTAGTAGGTCTCTACTCTTAGTAGTATTCGAAATAAGTCGACATTTTCACGGGAGATATCAATAGCAGGTTAGACAGCAAACCCTTCTAGAATTTTGGAATCATAACGGTATGTTTGTTCAAAATGGATTATATTTCACCGAAAATGAGTTATCCATTGAGATCAAGGATAACCTAATTTCTCACGACCTTCGTAGGAAATAGCATTTTTCTCCCTATATTCCGAAAGAAGGTCCTGTTCCCCTAAGAAATCAACTTCGTCCTTGAAATTACAAGGTCAGAATTCCTGTCTGACATTAGTGTTTTTAAATTGCACAGATCACTTGTGAAAATGTGAACCATTATCATTTCAGTTGCTATCTGCAGTAGAATTGAAGAGAAAATGAAGATCAGCTGGCTCTATATCTTTCGGGGTATTCTCTATAAATCGCCAGCGAGTAATTAATACCGACTAATAGTTTCTAAAGAATATCCAGAAAGATACAATAGAGTCAAATAATCTCTAATTGTGTTATTTTTCTGTATTTAGGCTAATCAAAATATGGTAACATGTTCACGGGAGATATTAATAGCAGGTAAAACAGCAAACCCTTAGAGAATTTCGCAACAAAAAGTGTCTGTTCGTTCAAAGTAGATTGAATTTTAACTACCTACATGTGAATTGAAGATAATGGGGGAGACCACTGTTTTTTTTAAATGACATTATCGTGAACTCTATACTGAAAAAACTACTAGTGAATTAATTTTGAATTTTTTCATTCATGCTGAGAGGATGAAAAAAATAAATTAGAATATGTCCATTTCAAAACACACAATTCCTGCGCCATTTGAATGTTTGTCAATTCATTGGTGTGCCTGGTGCGCCGTCTTAGTCCCAACAGGCCTATTGCCCTTGAACTGACCAATCACACTGCAACACTGCAGAATGACGAGGTATCAGAGAGAGATAGCTATAGTTCGGGACTAATACGTCACGGCTCCACTATCATATTTGGCTTTTTGAAATATCGAATGAAATATGCTGATTTTAAAACGGTATAGATTAGATTCCCTTCAACTTCAACTGATAATATTGATTGTACATAAAACGTAATTCATGATTCGTCGACAGAAAGAGGTTTGCACGGATTTTTCCCTTTAGTGGTCTTCCCCATTGAATTCCTCAAACCCTTTGAGGAAATAGCTTTTCCTGACTATATTATAGATTTGGTTACTCTAGAAAGGTTACTTTTACTTGAAAATAAAAAATTCTCAATACGACAACTAAATTCTAATCCGCAGTGGAACTGTAAATAGAATTGATTTGAACTGATTTTATGATATCTTTTTGGTATTGTGGTATTCATGGTTTATTTTTGTACCTCATTATTAATTTAACTTCACTTCCAATGTGATTCTATAATGATTGTTCAGTTGTTCTTCAGATGCTTTTCAATGGATATCTGATAGTTGTTCAGCTTTTTCATTTTATTATGATTATTCAGTAGTTGTATAGGATGTGTAGTGATTTTTATCGAGTAGTGGTTGAATATACGTTGTGAATTCCGCCTGCGGCACATTCTTGAGTTGATATCATAAAATATTTTTGACCTCAGCAGTTACGAAGAAAAAAGCGTGTCATTTCGTGAAAAAGTGCAGTTTTATCACTATAGTCATCATTCAGTGTTGTATACTTGATAGTCGTATATCAGGTTGTTCAATAGTTTTGTAGTGGTTGTATAGTGTTTGTATAGATAAAGGTTTCAAAGTGGTTGTAAAGTGGTTATATAGTAGTTGTATAGTGGTTGTAGTGGTTAAATAGTGGTTGTAGTGGTAGTATAGTAGTTGTATAGTGGTTGTAGTGGTTATATAGTAGTTGTATAGTGGTTGTATAGTATAATAATTATTCAATAGTTGAATAGCAGTCGTATAGCAGCATCCACGACTCACACAATCTTCGTATATCAGGTTGTTCAATAGTTTTGTAGTGGTTGTATAGTGGTTATATAGTAGTTGTATAGTGGTTGTAGTGATTATATAGTGGTTGTATAGTAGTTGTATAGTGGTTGTAGTGGTTGAATAGTGGTTGTTAAGTGTTTGTATAGTATAATAATTATTCGATAGTTGAATGGCAGTCGTATAGTAGCATCCACGACTCACCCGATCTTGAAATCCTGCGTGGACGGCGGCGGATTCCACACTTCTGTGTGACACATCATCCAGTCGCACCAGATCTTGACGGCGGGCAGCAGGACGTGTGCGTCGCTCGGTAAATTGCCGCCGGCCGCAGGCGTCGTCGTCGCTACCGCCACTTTGTCGCGGGCGTCGAGGTGGTCCTGCAAGATGGCGACGCATCGCTCGAGGATCAGATTGAACATTTGGAGGCTGACGACGAGGGCGCGTTCTTGCAGCTCGGACCTGTAGCCGGGTTGGGACTGCAGTTGAGGATCTGCAAGGAACAAAAGGAATACAGTACTCAATACATGGAACGGGCCACTTATAAATTTCCCCTTTTTTGACATCCCGTATTTTCTGAAGAAATGGAACGATTCACTTGCGGATTTTGGCATCGAACGTTGTTTCATCAAATTCAAAAATAGCTACGATAACATGAAACAATCAGCGCATTGAAACATACACGAAGTGTGGATTAGAAACAATACACTACGGTCAATTTTGCAATGTTATCTGGTCACAGGTTTTTTTTTTGTGAAATATCAGTCACAATTGTATATACATTGAAGCTTGTATCTCGAAACGATTTGAAAATTTGATTCCATGAGGTGAGTTGAGGGTGTTACCTGGTATGAATAGCAAAATTACAGCATGTAGTATTTTTCATCTTTCGGGGCACACGAAAGGCAATGCCTATTATGTTCGAGGACATTGTGCATACCTACGGAGGAGAGGGGGAGGAAGTAGGTATTCGAGGTAGTTGTAGGTTATAAGTGCTCAAGAATACTTCCTTTGGAAAATAATTCCAAAGATTTGCCGTTCTATAGACAATCGGGTTCTGTTGAAGAGTTGTTCGACATATCTCGAAGTTGACGACAAAAGTAAGTGCTGACTGGGCTTGTCGCGTTCGCCTGGCTGTTGTTGCTGGTGATGGAATGATAGCAGAGATTCCTCAAGAACATTTGCCATGTGAGTATCTATAGATAAGTGAAACCGACCTCACTACGGTGTTCCAACGTTTCCAAGGAACTAGTGAGTGTGGCATTACCAACCAGGAGAATGGATCGTCTCTGAATGAAACTGCTAGCATCAACGTATATTTTGGTGCTGAACAGTATTCGCGAGGACAGTATTCCAATATATGCCGGATGTATTTTGTAGATCTTGAGAAGCTGCTGAGGAATGAAGTAGCTTTTAGCTAGAAATAAAGCCGAGTGCTTGTGAAGCAGCTTTCGCGATGGATATGACATGATTTCCACATGAGGCTGCATATAATTCGTCAGAACGTATTTCACCAGAATCGTATTGTATCAGAATATATTCGATTCAAATGGTATTTCAACGATACCATAATTTAACGGAACAATAAATAATCGGAATATAACATCATAATGTAATCCATCAAGTAGTAAAATGAAGGAATGTACTTTATAGATACATAAAACATCATACCGTACTTCATAAGAAAGGTAATCTATCATAACCGAACCGTATTCTCTCAGAATTGTATTTTATCAGAATCGTATTCTGCCGGAACGATAATTCATCGAAACCGTATTTTGTCGCGACAGTAATCTGCCAGAATCGTATATTTTTCAAAACGGTGAATCATCATATTAAATAATCAGAACCGTAATTCATCGGATTTGTATGTTGTCAGAACTGTATTCTGTCGAGACAATGAAAAACCATAATCGTATTTCATCGCAACATTAACCTCTGAGAATCGTAGTCTAATGATGATGATGTTTCATTCACTGTCAAGAAGAATTACAGTTCTGATAGATAACTGAGTCTATAAAAACGTTCCTATATACAATACAACGATTTTTTGGCGGAATACGATTCTGATGATTTACTATTGCTATGAAATAGAGTTCTGTTGGATGACCATTTCCATATCATACGATTCTGATAGAATACCCTCTCGACAAAAGGAGATTATGATGAAGTAACATTGCGATGGAATACGGTTCTAATAAAGTACGGTTTTGATCGAATATGGTTCTGATTCAATATCATTCTGATGGATTACATTTTGACGACGTTTCAATTATTATATATTTCTACGGTACGGTACGGTTTCATGTTTTACATCACGATGAATATCATGCCTACAGAATATAGTTCCTGTGTCAATTACGTTTCCTACGAATTACCATTCTGATGAAATATATTTCTATAAATTTTATTTCCATATTTCATATTCTGACATTTTATGTGTACCTTCCCATGAAAGAGTATGGAATGGTAGTACCAGACATTGTTATATCAGGCATACTCATTACAGATCAACCACTAATAATGATTTATACGTAATACCAAATCATAGAACAGCTCAGTTCCAGAGATCATTTGCATATATTGCCACAAAAATATTCAATGAGTTACCAAGTTTTATAAAGATGCTCCAAATATAAACTCTTTCAAGAGACATGTCAAATTCCACCTAGTTGAAGTGCGCACTCATCTGAGAAATTGCTATGTTACATAAGCCTATGAAACTGTGAAAATATTAGCTGATAGCTAAGTTAAATATTTGTTTTGTTTTGCCACTATATTTTGTACTTCTCTTTTGCCATTTTCAAGTTTAATTTCTTATTTTGTGTTTCGTTCAACATTTACGATGTCAATTTGAAATAGCACTTTTAGGAGCAACGATGTTGAATGTCGCCCCATTTACAATTTGTTCATTGAATCAAATGGTTTGGATGAAATAAAGACCCATTATTAATATCATTACTCAGTCCGTGAAAATACTCCACTTGATATTTGGAATCTCTTTCGCGAAACCCTCAGCTGCCACTGCTTCATAAATATTATCATCGAGCATTCCAATGAAATGCACTTGATGGCGCCGCTACACCTGAGTATGCTCTACGAGCTTCATTAGCCTCATTTGCTATGACGAGCAGCACACGCTTTGCTCACATTATACCAATAAAGTGTACGACAATCGCAACGGGTCAACAACTATGTATTACTCAACTAACAAAAAAAAAAGTTTTTTCGAAGAACCAACAGAATCCTTGTCTGAACAATGTTTGAAGAAGAAGAATATTGAAAAATGTGAAATAATTCTTGGGAATAATCTTTTTTTTTTCGTATTTTGAAAATGACTGTTTCTTATTATTGATCTCAATTTTACCATTTCAATAGTCAGATTGTACGAGTAAATATTTTTTTTATCTGTATCTGTATCAACTGAACAGGATTTTTAGTTTTGGGTTATCATCTTTGCATTCTATATCAATCAATCAATCAACTTTATTATTCCCAAGAAACAACATTTGTTTATAGCAGGGAACATGGTGAATACATAAATATATTTGACAAAATAAAATAAAGAAGACAGTAAAATAAGACTCACACTCAAGAAGAATCTTTTTTTTTTCAAGTTCAACTGAAATGATTCTCTGCCATATGTTGTATTTTTTCAGAAAAGATTTGGTCAGCCAATTTTGATTTCTCAATGTATTTTCTTCAGATTGTACTAGTTCTTTCGTCCTTACTGACAGAGGTCTCATTGTTTCATCTGTATTTTTCACGTATGGGTCGATTCCGCTTCTTTATGAGTAAAGCAAGTCCGATAAGTTTTGCACAAAAATATGCGGAAGTTGAATGCCACAATAAGGTGATCCCAAAAAACTGAGTTCGAGTTTTAATCTTCTTTTTTTATGTTCTGGTTTCCACGAAAAAGGAAATCCTGTAATGTTCAGAGAACATCGTGAGAACCAAGGGAAATAAGGTAGGAATTGGTGTTCTTCTTAAATTTCTGGAGGTTATATGCCTCGGGCAACACCTCCCCTGGCAATGTGTTCCAGAGCCTCGCTGTTCGTTGGATGGACGAGTCTTAAGAAAGAGATGTTCTGCAAGTTTCCAAAGTGACCACGAAGGGGTGCGAAGTCTCAACTCGACGGGTTAATCTCGCGGGAGCTGGCAAGGGAGGTACAATTGTTGATATTTCAGAAGAGCATCGTCCATGGAGATATCTATAAAATAGAGCCAGATCGCCAACTTTTCTACGGTGTTCCAGAGAAGTGAGTGAGTTTGTGAGCGAGGCATCACCCACGAGACGAATTGCCCTTTTTTGGACAGAATCCAAGAGTTTCAGGGTATGTCTGGGTGCTGCACTCCAAATATCGGAGCAGTATTCCAGGACAGGTCGGATCTGTGCCTTATAGACCGTAAGCAGCTGACTGAAAGTGGAATTGCTCCTGGCCCGAAACAGAAAACCAAGTTTTTGGGATGCACTTTTAGCAATTGATCTCACGTGATTTTCCCAAGAAAGGTTATTGCTGGTAGTAATACCAAGCGTCGAAATTGATGTCTTCAAAGGTATGGTTACTCCTTGCATGCTTATGTTTGGCACAGTGAGAATTCTAGAGAAAAGGTATGCTTGTGATTTGTTTGCATTGAAATCTACCAAGTTATTGGATCCCCATTCGAGAATTGTTGCTAAGTCCATATTTATGTTGTCAACATTTCTCCCTCGTTCGTTTCTGATTTGCCTGGCTGGTAATGGAGCCCTGGAAGAGAAGGCGGTATGGAGGGTACTATCATCCGCGAAGCTTAAACATAGTTAGCGAAACACGTGTCGAGGTGTGAAAAATATATGCTTACCAATGTGTATTGTTTTTTCATAAAAATAGAAGTTCAGGAATGTAAATTTTGGTGGGTGCGGCAAGTAAAAAAAATGAAGGTAGAAAATTTATCAAAATCCCAATGCCAACGATACCAATCATTCCTAGGTCCAAGATTTTATAACGCTGTCCCAAAAAAACTAACAGATGTTATAGATAATCATAGAAAATTCAAAAGTCATCTCCTAGATTATATCCAAGGCCACAATGATTGTTTTTATGCGCTTTTCAGCGTAGTATCGTAATCAAAATTATACATATCTTTGTTCTTTACCTACTATAATTATTATAACTCCTTTATTTTTTCACTCAGTTCAACTTTTCCTCAATCTTCATTATTAGAAAGCTCATAGCACATGAATCTACAAAAAATACATAACTCAATACATAAGCTCATCACAAACTTCGGTTTAGGAGCTCATATATATTCAATCTCTGGTAGAAGTCCTTGTTTGCTCAAAGTGGAGTGGAATTTTTAAAGGAGGAAGGAAAGCTCAAAGTAATCTCCACAACTTTAATATGAAGTGTTTATTCAACGGGACATGTTTCGAACCTATAAA